GAATATAAAAATAACTTGTTTACATTCTAACTTCTTATCTTTCGTATGTTACTTTAATTTTTACTGGTATAAAGCATTGTTTCTGAAGTCTGATGATGATCTAATTATATAACAAAAGAGTCTTCATTTTAAGAGATTTGGTGATTTTAGCTAAATGTGAATGCTTGTATTATTTCTTTGATAGTCAATAATCTTATTAACATATGTCTTGATGTTGGTCATTTTTGATCAGTTATTGCAGATATTCAATGTGCCTTTTGAAAATGTGACATCAAATCTTCTTCTGTTGTATTATAAAAGTGTCTTTGACTATAGCTTTCATTGTATTTGTTGTGTTCTCCTTGTTTTGGTTTTCTTTTTTGAAGGTTTCATATACATGTATATTGAATCTCCTTTTTCTATCTTCATATCACTTATGCTTGATTTTTTCTTATTTCTCCCTTCCTCTCCCTCTCAGCTCACATCCTCCATTCCTTCCTTTTTGAAACTTTTTAGATTTTTTTGACTGGTTACTATTTATTCCTATTTCTTTTTGAATATTTTTCTGTCTCTTAAAGCATTCTTTGGTCTGCATTTCTTTTAATTTAGTCTTGATTTTAAAAATTATTTTTTCTTTTATTTATAATTCTTTCTTGAGTTATATTAAAGCATCTCTTAACTTTTCTAATTCTGACTTATGTTGTTATTCCATAGGTTGTATTATATTCTTAATGTTTTCAGTTTATCTAATTTCTATCTCTCAAAAACTTATTAGAATTTCTTACCTGCTATCTCTTTTTCTATTCCTTTTTGTTCTGATAAATTTATATATTTTTTAGTCCTCTCCTTATATTTTGTGAAAATTAGCAACAGGGAAAAAAACACACATGTCTTTTATTCCCAGTATTTAATCAGCTCTATTTTCCCTGTGAATTTGTCCTTTCCTTATTTAAACTACAGGAATTTTCTATCCACTCATATTAATTAATCTTTCATTGCTGATATGTGTTGCAAATACTTACTTTCAATATGTGCTTATCATCAGTTTTTTAAAAATCTTGTTATCTGATGTTTTGACATTTTAATTTTAACTTGTTATTCTTTTTCTTTATTGTTTATGTTGTTTTATGTCTTGTTAATAAATTCTTCCCTACTTCAAGGACATGACAATGTTTTCCTACGCTTTCTGAAACATTTAAAATGTGCTTTTATGTTTATATTTTTAATTTGTCTGGGATTGATTTTTGTGTGTAGTATGACATAGGGATGTTTTCTCTATGGGTAGGGATAGCCATTGTTAGCTGAGTCATCTCTCCTTTCTCTTGATTTGTATTTCCTTTTACATGCCATGTTCCTCTTTCTTCATAGATCTGTTTACGGGTTCACTGTTATCCTACACTGGACTGTCTCTGAACTGATGTAACACTCTTTTGATTACAATAGTTTTATAGTAAATAATGAAATATGGTAGACTAAGTATTTGCTGCTTATTCTTTCGATTCAAAACAATCTTGGCTATTCCTGACCCTTACTCACCTAAAGTGTGTAAACAAACAGTGTTGAAATTTTGATTAGAATAGCCTTGAATGTAAGGAGAAATTTGAAACCTATTTTTATTTTCTTCTGTTTTGTCCTTAGAGCTGACATATAGTGTCCTCACATGGAACATTTCCAGATAAATTTTTAAAAAAGAATGTGTGTGTGTGTGTGTGTGTTTGTGTGTATATATATGTGAATATATGTGTGTGTATATATATGTGAATATATATATAAAATGCCCCCCACATACATACACATAAAATATACCTTTACACGTTTACGCATGAATGACATATTTGTAGAGATTTATATACAAATTGGTGATAGTCAATGTCTTTGGAGAAAAAGACTAAGGGATTAGAATCTGTAGTAAGAGAGATGTCTACTTTTCACTTTAAAATATTTTGTTTTATCTTATGTATGTATTACTTTTTCATACAAGGAATCCCACTTTAAGACCACACTTGACTGGCCTAAATCCACATCTTAATTATGATAGGTGATTGGTGTGAGAATGATTTTTCTACATCTTCTAACATTTAATACAACGCACCAGGAACCCAGAAGTTCCCAAATGGAAAGTTTAGAGTAATTATCCAAGTTTTCTTACTAAAGATGACTAAGATGTCAGGCAAATATTTCACATGGAAAAAAATATATCCTGCAAATGTATCTGATAGCATCTTTTGTGTGTAGAAGAGAGGAAGAGTAATCAGTTGACTGTTAGTAATGTGAGAACAGGGACCACATTTTATTCACTTTTCTATCATTGACAACTAGCTCAGTAATATACATAATAGATGCTTAATAATAATCTTTTAAACAATGAATTAGTGAATAAGCACATCAACAGATATTAAAGATATTTTGAGAGTGGTATGTAGGAGTTTGTTGTGGGGTGCGATACAGAACCTGGAACATAAAAGGGCTTAGTAATTGTCACCTGTTGCTTTTGTCAGTACTTTACACACTATCTCTATTACTATTATTCCAGAGATTTATCCTCAACCTGATTCTGCTGGTATTTTTTTGTTAGTGATTGGTTGAAGATAGAAGTTTATCACCTTTGTTGATTTCATTACTCTGAGGTGGAGAGATAGGTCTCCATAGGCTGTAGTGCTGTACCTAATGAGGTAGAATTTAATAGTGTTTAATATCTTGAACATACAATAAAACTCAAATGATCAAGGGCAGTAGAAAGATCGAATTTGCTTAACAATAGTGCATGTAGAATTTTTAAAGTTTTAGTAGAAAGTACATCTCAATCTGAATTATCAGTATGCTATGGCCAACAAAGAATGTAATAGTATTGCAAGTTAAATTAAAATAAATATAGTTTGTGTAATGAGGAAGTTGATAGTGGAACTCTATTAGGCAGTGATGAACTATACGTAAGTGTTTATTATGGTCAATCCTAGACATTAAACTTTCCAAGAAACTTAGGCTTGGGAGCAAATTTGGAGAACAGTGATTAGAATTGTGAAAAGACTGAACTATTTTGTATTGCAAGTGGGATTTTTTGCTTTGAGGAGAAAATAACTCATGGAAGATATGAAAGCTATCTTTAAATATTTGAGAGCAATTCAGGCGATGAAGACTGTATGATCATAAAAAGAAAACAATGGAGCAATAAATCAATATAAAAAGATATCTCAAATAGTCCAAAATGTAGCCAGCTGTTTTAGAATTCAGACCCATGGCAGTGTTCAATGGCAGACTTCACAATTAAATGTTGAGGTTGTGGCAAAGGGTTAAGGAACCACTTATGGGGCTGGATCAGATGAGATTTATGCTGGAAATTTCATATTCCGTGAAATTTGAATTGGCATACTGTAGCATGACTTCAGATAGGGCTGTATTTATTATTTGGAAAGATGGCTGCCAAATACCTTAACTGGTGAACTGGCTCAATAGAATTCAACTAACATCTTTTTGAACTCAAGAAATGTTGATTTGTGTTTACTGCTTTGAGACATGTAAAATAGACAAAACGAGGAATTGTACAATGATTTACTACAGAGTATAGCATAGAAAGTGGTCTAAAGCAGTCCAAATGTTTGAACCTATTCCAAACTTGACAATAGTTGTATGTTAGTAAGTCATAGAATTGGCCACGTGTTTAATACCCATTATGTTGCCTGACACATAGTAGACACCATTTGTTGAAAGAAGAAATGACTAATTTCTTTCACTGCTTGATTGATGTTGACTAGTTTCTAACCTGCCTGAGGAACAGAGGAAGCCAATTCCCAAGGCTCCAGTTAGTTAGATCCCCTTTTAAGACTTTCAGCACAACTTTACCTCCTTGGAGAAGAGGCCATAACTAGTAATAGGATAGGCCATGGAAATAGGAGCCACAGTAACTGGTAAGAAGATCTCCTGTAGTGCAGAAGAAGGCAGCTCTGAGAACAAAGTTGAGTATTTTCAGGGGAGATAGAAATGTTTTGACTAGATAGTCAATCAACTCTCCAAAATTGAGACAGTACTTCAAATTAGAGCATTCCATTAAAAAATATTGCTTTCACATGAACATTCACAGAGTATATTTGAAACTTTTTTTGAACTCAGAAATAACATCCTGCAAACCATAAGGAAATATAAAACTAATGAAAATGTAATCATATCAAACAACATCAAATTTTACAAAACATCAAAACCTGTTTATGGAAAGTGAAATTGTTAGAATATGTTTTTTAACTGTTTAATTTATGTGGTGCCCATGGCCATATGTGGCCACAGAGACTTGTAAAGCAATGCTAATTCTTTTATTTAGCCATTGGAAACATTTTTCTTTAGGCTATGTATGAGGAAATTCTATGATGTCCTCTTTGCTGTATTCTTAACTTGGGCTATACACAGATGAGAGATGATCTTACTTCACACAGTCTTCCTACCAAGATCATTACTGATTAGATAGTATAGAACCATAAACATTTCAGTATAGGTTTTATTTTTTTTTTGTTTCTAGTGACACGATTTGGTCAAAACTTGGATCAATAATTAAATTTATGATATCTTCCTAGATATTATTAATTTTGTACTCTAAGAATAATAGATTTATGATTTAAAGAGATTTATTTAAATTCCTTTTCTCTTCTTTTTAAAAAACTGTCACACATCTCTATTTAAAACACTGTTTGGATGCAAAAAGTCATTAATTCAAAATTGAGAAGTTTTTCTTCTTTTTTTTCTCTCTCACTTCCTCCTTTTTTCCATTCTTTTCTTTCTCCTTCTCCCAATTTCCCTCTCTCTTTTCTGAAAAATTGTGTCCAAGCTCCCCAAATCTATTCTCTAAATTCTTGCCCTGCATTCACCAAGAGGTGAAAAGATCATAAAATATCATTGTTTCTATCAAGTGAGAACTGTCAGCAGTGTGTAAGCAATATAAATATTTGTGTAAGAAAACACTTATCTTCGCAATGTTTTTCTGTGAGGCAAACAGAGAAGAAATTATTTCTGAGTTTAAAAATAGTCAACACAACTTGGAAAACATGGTAATATTTATTCATGATAATAAACATGTTTTTAATGAAAGCCATAGATGTCCAAACACAAACTGAATCATGATAACCCAATGGTCTTTTTCACAAAAACCATGACATATGTCCCATTAATTTGCTAAATGATATGAATGCAGAGAAAGGATGAATCAAAACCACTAAAATCCTTTTAAACACACCGTCTAGTTTAGATGTCAACTCTGAGAATGGCATTCAAAAATGGTCCCTCTGTTTTACATTTATCCGCTGAGTTTTTGTTACTCTACCCTTACCAATTTCTTAAAAGCTTTAATTGTTATCATTCATTTCAACTTAAAACTGCTAGCAATTTGGTTTGACTTTCCATAGAGGACTAAATTCTGTCACATTAATATATAGGTAGGTAGTTATACAATGTCATTTGTAAGTATATGGGTCTGAAAGGGCCATTATAAATGTTATATAAACCATATAGTATATAGGGTATATATACTATGTGGTGTATGTAATAGCTGACTAGAAAAAATATATACCTACCTACTATATGATTATCTCTAATAGCTTCAGACTTCTTTTAAATTAAACTTAATATCTGGAATATTTTTAAAGTTTGTTAGAGATCTAAATTTTTATTCTTAAGTACCATCAAGCCAGATGCTTATATAATTGTCACTTTCAAAACTTTACCTCAATCTTTCCCAGAAGCCATTTAGATCCATCTGATATTATTTAAAAAATCAAATTAAATGTAAAAATGTCTAAATACACTTGTCTTATTGGTAATTTATAATATAGTCTTCCTATTGTACTCCTTAAATTGAATTATCAGAATCTGAAAATTTAAAAAAAAGCTAAGTTTTATAAATAAAATCTCAGGAGGAAAAGGCACTTAAACCCTGCACGTGGTTATTCCTGTCTGTGTTCTCCACAACCCGTATCAAATGGAATTGATTTCTGGCCTGCATACAAATACAGCAAAGTGCCAGAATAAAGTCAAATCAGAATGCTTATGAAAAAGAATCAAGTTGGTCACCAAATGTTTCACATCAGTAGGAAATTTCTTTAGAGACTTCTGATGGCAATTTGAAGGGTATGTTGCTATCAGATCAAGTGCAGGAGAGGTATAAGGCTACTGGAGAAATTCCCTTAGTTTATTGAGCAGAAAGCTAAAACATTTGTCTCAACAGGAAAGCTTGACAAGATAATTAAATGAATGATAACAAAATCTCAGCAGGGAAGTGCCCATTAATTGAATGTATTTGGAAGCATGTTTTCACAAGTATAACCAAATTATCTAATTTCCACTCACATTAAAAAGTGATAGTCTATACCAACTAATTACTGGAAATGAAGGAAAAGGCCAGTACTTTGAACCAATAACACAGAAGAAAACAAAATTACTAACATCAAAAGGCTGCCATATTTGATAGCTTCTTAAGAATTCAATTCATCATTTCACCCTTTGAAAGTATCTCAGTGAAACTCGCCAAAGAAAAGAATCCCAGTAACTTCTATGTGGTAGTGTCTTTAAAGCTGGAACACATTTCTCACATTCTTTGTATCCTTTTTTGATATTAATATGTGTGTCAGGATGAGTGTGCCAAGAGGTGAAAAAACTGTTGTTATAGATATAACAATTTAGTTTCAGCACTTCACTTCTGTAAGAAAATTAGTGCCATCTGTTTTCCTTTTTAGTGCTACATATAGTTGATAATTTTTTTAAAATGTTGTTGCTGTTTTCATGTACAGATCAGGAAGTCTGAAATAAAGCATCATTTTGGTCAACTTTTATATTTGAAATAAGGAATAAAATAATATATATTCAGATTTTCTGCTTTGAGTTGCCAGCAAGATGTCTCCAAATTGGATATTTTTAATGCTTTAGCAAATTATTTTCCAATTTGCATAAAGTTAGTAATAAACTTTGTTATATATCTGTGGTAGCCAATTAGATTCTGTTCATAGTCAACATGATCAATAAAGATTTAAAACTATAAAATCTGTCACTTTTATTTTTCTAAACCCAAACTCTAAAACATTAATCTGTTGGTAAACATTTGGCAAAAATTTTATATAACAGCAAAACAATGAAATGAAGTTCACTTTAGTGTAATTTTTATAGAAATTATGAGCAGCTTTGCCTAATTTTTAATCGGAGCCAGGAAAATCTGAATTAACAAATAATGACAAAAATATTATTTTACTTTTTTACTTACATTGTTTTTCAAAGAAAATTATTATCTAAATAAACACATTTTCAACATACTTTCTAAAATTTAATAACAGTATTTATTTTCCTTGCATATAAAAATTATGTTTCAGCTTTAAAAACAGTTCTTAATGTTCTGTGTAATTGTGGAGCATCCTTTTTCATTCAGAAAACTAGAGACTGGAAATTATAAAAGTAGCAACTAACACTCATTCACAATGACTTTATCACGTGACTGGTGAACAGCTATTAAACCTAGGCTGCTTTATCTTCCATAAAGTTATTCTACCCTAATTTAGAGAAAATAATAGGGCTATATTTTGTTTTCCTAAATCATTTTCCTAAATTAATATAAAGAGGATGACAGTTATGCTACATATAGGTAGATTGATAAATGCAGAGCAATAGATTGGTAGATAGCTATAAATATGGCCATCGTTAAAACACAATATTTAATAGAATGTTTGGTTTTGCCAAATGAAGCAATGCATACAAAAGTATTCATTCATACCTTATTTTGCTGTCATTTCTATTCTGTTCTAGTGTTTTGTTTAATTAATACAGTAAAATACAGTGTTCCAATTGAACAATACTTCAGATGCTAAACAATTGTTTCTATTTGTGTACACTGGCAGTTCACAATTTAAAAGCATAACCACCTCAGTCAAAAACTGCATGTAGATCACTCTGGATTTTGAAGGCTTTTGCTTCTAACAGAGATTTTTTTTTTTAAATTATGGAAGAATACATACATTTCATTGATAGATAATAATTGGGAGGGGGATTATAATCAAATAAATTCCTTGAAATAGATTTTTATCTTTTAGTGTCAGTTTAGTATCTTGCTCAGCACGTTTACATTCTCTTAGCATGGCAACTTTCTATTCATTACTTTATGGTAGTTTAATCACCCCCATTTTATGATCCTAGTTATTTGTATTCCATGAAATATTGCAAATTTATTTTCAATAGACCTTTTCCTTGATGACCAGAAGTGGAACTTATGTTTCTAACTGAAAACAATTGACACTTTATTTCTACAACATCTGTACCTGAGAGATATTTAACAACACACAGCTAATCTTTCTTTTTTTCATGAATTTCTGGAGCTTTTAAATTTATAACATTAAAGTTTTGTGAGTTTCATCTTAGATGAGACTTGCCTTTAAATACATGTTTGTGTTTTCTGTGGAAGTTACCTATATGTCTTCAAAAACCCGACTGATCTAATCTAGAAAAATTACTCTTTGAGACAGTCATGTTTCTTTGTTTTTCTTTTCCTTTTTTTCTTTTTCTTTTCTTTTTTTTTTTTTTTAGAAAAAAGAAAGACAAAACAGCAATAAACATTTTAGCTCTTTAATGAGCAAAGATCATGTTTCTTAGCATTGGACTAATAGTCATTATCCAGATTATCTTTATTTCACACAATGACCAGTGACATGGCCAAGATGTACAAAGTTGGTTCCATCAAGTAGTATACAATTTTTTTTGTATAATAATCTTTCATTCTTGAAAAAGAGTAACTGAAAAGAAAGGTTTCTGTTACTGCAGTTAGTTTGTCAGAGAAAGTTCTTTGCATTATCTTATAAACTATCAAAATTGCTAGTCATCTGAAAAAATGTAAAAAAAAAATCACATAACTTTAGTCTAATAGAAATATAGTACAGGTAAGAGAGAAAGTATTTATCAGGATGTGCTCTTTAAGTCCATCTCATTTTTTTTTAAATATAAATGTACATCTGATTACATATACAAACATTTGGAAAGGTCTGTGATATACTGTTACTGGTAAACAACAGGGGGATGAAGAGTTTCCTGTGGTCTGAGAATATTCATTTAAAATCACACATATGTGTAAGACTAAAATCCTCCAGGTGTTGACTCTCCTAGGTTCTGTATCTACGTTGTACTCTACTGAGATTGCGTGAGTAAATTCCAGTGAATGAACCTCAGTGAGAAAGATAAGTGATGTAAAGAGGGACATAACTTTATAATGAATTGTTATTAGTAAACGTTTTGTCATGCAGCATGAGTAAATCAATGAACTCAGAACTATAATCAGAGTGTTAATACTGGGGCATCCTCATATCATGAAAGACTGTTGCAAGTAACTCTTTGGACACACTTCACCTTACCAAAAGGAACAAAATACAGAGTAACAAAAAAACACAGCAACTTATAGATCCTGTACCACATGTCCAATTAGGGTTATAGTTCTATAAATTATCTAGATGAGAATGAAAAGAACATTGAAAACAGGGAATTTTTTTTCTGGGATTCATATCAGCGAGTATTCACCACTATACCTATAGTTTCTTCAAATACCTTTAATAACTAATTCCTTTTATATTGAAACTACTGTGAATTATTTTATTGTAATTACTTTTGCCCCTTAAAATCTTTAGGTTCTGCCAATTGATGGAGGAAGCTTCTATTAAAAACTCCAATGGGATGAGAAGAATTTTAATTACGGCTTAATCAGCAGCACAGCCACCAAGCATATAAATTATCATGCACATCGTGCTAAAAATATCCAGTTTCCTTTATCCCCACAACTTTATACTGACAGCACTTATGTGATAATGTTGTACCTGCCAGTCTTTAAACTTCTTTGTTTTACTGGCAAATTTCAGCATGAGCCTTTGCTAAGGCCATTAACAGCATTGACGCTTTGTGTACTTATCCAAATATGTAAATATGGTCTACACAATAAAACGGCTCCAAATAAAAACTGGTGAAAATTATCTGACATTCCATTGGTGTGTCCCTTGTGCATATTCATAGTTTTTTTATTTTTATTTTTTATATTTCAGACATAGTTCTTTCCTGTTTGGTGTTCCACATGCCTAATTCCATTATGTAACTTAAATCTTCAAAAAATTAATTCTTGAATGTGAATGAAAAAGTATCATTCGGCACAATTGCTTCAAGCAATTGAAATTTGTTTTTAAAGTTGATTTGTATATACACAATTCATTTTTTTCAAAACCCCCAAAGTTCTTGATATGTATATTCACATAACATTCCTCCTTATTTAAATAGTAAGTCTTGTAGGTTGAAAGCCAAGGAATCTTCAGTAATCGTTTACTGCAATCCACCAAAAAAATAGTTTGTTTCTGTTATCTGGCTATACCCTGGTTGTTGAATGTGAATGGGGGTGGGGATGGGGATGGGGCAGAGTATTGTTCTGTCCTCCAGTAAATGTGTTGAATGTGTGTAAGGGCTGAATCCCTGGTATGGTGTTGGGAATCATTGTAATGGTGTTGGGTGTCATTAAGGGAACATCATCAGGTGACCTCCTCATAGCTAGTGTGTAATCTGGGGGACAGGCGGTCCGAAGAACCACCTCATGTGGATGGATGGACTCACATTCATGATCCAAATCAGTGTGCTTCATTTGGAGGGACATGATTTCTTCTTCTTGTGCATGGGTTAGATCATTGGTAGTAGTGCGCTGAGGGCTGCATCTCCTGTGAACATCATGTCTCCTCTTATCCTTTTTGTAGTACAGGGCTGCAAAGGCCAAGATGTTCAGAAACAGCAGTGATGCTCCAACTGCAATAGTGACACTCAGCTCTGTTGAGTAGTCCCTTTGATCCACTGAAAATGGACTTGGTTGTTGTTTGGGATCATCCTGCTTGGCAGTGGGAAAGGCTGACGTGACAGGTACAGAATTTTTTCTCGTAGGTCTGAAAGTGATGTCAGTTGATGGCACTTTAGTTGTTGTAGAGGTATACTGAGAAATGTCATTGAGATTATGCAGATGAGGTACCAACTCCAACCAGAGGTTCACCTTATTGGCTCTGTAATGTTCTTTAACTCTTGGTTTTAATCCAATATGGAGATAAAGTTGGTCTTTCTGGGAATATCTGGTCCATGCTACTTCTTCAAAACGGTTGGGTTTGGTATGAATGAATTTCGTGTCTTGAGGGACTGGTTGATTTGGGTCACTAAAAAGGAAAAGATAAAGTTATTTTGTTTTTTACTTAAAATCACACTACTTTAACATATAATAATTAAAGAGATGACTCAGCAATGCTTTAGATTTTTTTTTTTTTTAATTAACTTGGGTCAATTTAGAAATATAAATCTCCTACCAGGCAGATTGTTCGATGAGTAATAATGTAAGGCAATAAGTCTCACATTCTTGTTCTCTCTGCCTATCCTGAGATGGGCTACTATCTACCCAAAGATTTTGAAGAATTATTTAAATACTCACATACGTATGAGTTGTCTCATAGGCAAACTAGCAGAGATGACATGGAATAGTGGAAAGGATTTTTGATTTTAAATTAGTAGATAAAGGGTTGAGACTAGGTTCTGCTATATACCAGACATGTGACCATTTCTATGACACTCCCAGAACCTCAGGTCTCTTTTTTATAAAGTGGGATTAATAGTACCTGATCTGCCAGGTTCAGAAAGGTAGTTGGAAGGATGAAAGAGTGTTGTGAATTACAAAGCACTATAAAATAATATTTTGTACTGCTGAACAATAGTAAATCTTGTATAATTCAAAAACCAAAAGCATATGTAATTAAGTAATGCAATTGAGATATGTACTTTCTTAACAAGCTTCTAAAACACCAGAAATAATAAAGCAATGACTTCAAAAAACACCATAATGTAGAATTAATTTTGAATAAAGGATTGTAATATATTGCAGGCATTAATCCAATATGAGATTATCTGGGCATAAATATCTATTATTTTAAAATGGTTAAAATAACATTTTTATTAAAAATAAACTTCATTCCTTAGGTACATACCCAGTTTTAGCAAAATTTGTCCAGTATGTCATTACAACTGCACTCAGCATCACATCATTTTTGGAGAAATTGCAAGGAAATAACTCTGTAGGACCAATCATGGGGATTCCCAGGACATAGGGAACCTCGTCTCCGTGGGCTGCATCAGCCCAAGCTGGAACCTGATCTGTTTGGCAATGATGGTAAAAGGCATAGAAGTATGTAGGTGAACCGAAGTTTGAGTGAAGATCTGCTGTGGCTACAGCTGGTGCCACCCACTGATGGTCCGTAAACAAAGCCAATAATGTCTTTCTTCTGGTTTCAGGGTTATGACGGTCAGCCCAGTCAGTATACATGAACTTAATGGTTTCTCTCAAAACATCTTTGCCTTCAGGATATCCATATAAATTATCAACAAAATTTGAAACAGCGAAGTCAAAATCACTAGCTGATATACCATCATCGCTATCTACTATGTTTTCAACAAATTTTAACCCTTCCCCTTGGTTCACTCCTAACATTATATCGTAGTTGAGAAACTCTCCTTGCTCCATCAATATCTGAGGGTCATCTGGTATTACATCACCATCAATCACAGGTCCAAAGGCTATGTGGTATCGAGCTGGTTGAATATCTTGGTCAACAAGTTCTTTGTAAGGCTTCTTCTGTAGGCATTCCACTAACTCTACTGTATCTGAAACATTGCAACCAACTTTTGTGGCCAACATTCTAGCATATTTTGCAGGTTGAAAACTAACAGCCCAGCTGGAAAGGGCTGTTCCACTTTGAGCTATTGCTCGTTGAAAAAGTCCTATGGGAAAATCAACAAAGAATTTTAGATGATCTTTGAGTAATGTTGTGATAAAACAGTAACATCTGATATTTTAGACATGTATATAAAAACCCAGATACAACTCAAGAAACAGGGAGATAGAGACATTTTTGCTTAAGGGAATTACACAAAGCCAACTGCAGGGTATAGTGGATTAGAGAGGTGGATCTAATTCTTCTGCTTTGAGTGGCACCTGCTTTAGGGATCAAGAAGCCTCAAAGAGGTAGCAGGCAAGAAGAAAAGGAGAAGATGTCGTGGTACAAAGTCCCAAATATGTTCTTCAATGAGTGTGTAAATACTTATCATCAACATTAACCAGATGGGGCCAATCTTCTCCTATTCAAGTCCTCAACAGACTCTACATTGTCTGTTTGGAATATTTCCTCTAGCTTGACTGTGTCTATCTTCCTTCAAAATAGTTCTATATATTTGTTTTAACCAGATGTTATTTGAAAAGGAATTCTTGAAGGCTCACACAATGACTGGGGCTGGCTGTTTGTTTATACCCTGGGGTTGGCCCTGAATTCACACAAAACAGAATATTACTTTAGACGTACTCTTTCCAATCTTCATGTCAGACATAGTATGCTGAATATTCATCTTTCAGAAGAAGACATAACATTTGAAGTGTTTTCACTAGGCTAAAGAAAAAACCATCAGCAGACAGATTTAGTGTGGTGTGATTTAACTTTTGCCACTGTTGAATGTACACTACTACTTTTATCATAAAAGATGAAAAGCACATGGTCCACTGCTTTTTACTTAATTGCATTTAAGAATTGTAAATGATGGTTCCATATGCAGTTTGTTAAGTGCTGCATGTCATTAAAATTTACAAACGCACTTTATCTTCTCATTAAGGTATTTTTCTGATAAAATTCCCGTTTTAAAAATATAGTTTATCTATTTGCTTTTAAATATTTAAATTTATTATCAATTTCCAAATACAGTTTTGTGCTTCAGTTATTTAAAAACATGCTTAATTATTCATATGTGTTAATGAGATAAAAACTCTTTTCACAAAGGTGTTGAAGCACTGTCTGAATTAGAAGGAAAGTTTTAGATTTTTTTAACCTAATACGCCTATACATTCAACATGTCTGTAACATGTTCCCATATAATTCTAAAGATATTTTAAAAATCTAACAGTATTAATATACATTTATTTTGGTTTTCTGACATCTTTATAAACATTTTTTAGTTTACTAGAACAAAGTATGCTAGAGCAAATGATACAAATGCAGATAATTTTAAAAATTATGTAGCTGTTTATTAACAGTAGCTCAGGAAAATATATTAATAAATAGAAATTATATAACTAAAATAGATCTGGTGATTTCTATAATATTCTTTCCCATTTCAGGGACTCAACATTAACTAAATATACTGAAAGAGATTTGGAAGGAAAGGCACATCATGTTCAATATATCCTAAAATATACCACCTAGATGGTATTGGGAACACCATATGTTTTATCATTAGTGAAAGTGCCTCTTCTGTGGATGCAAGATGGGGTTTACTCACGGTATATCCAGGCCTGAGCATTGGTGCAGCCCTTTGTGGGGTTTATTGCCTTTAAAGTTTACATCTACATTGGAGGCAGAATCAGCTTGATGATTTCAAGAGATTTTTTTTGAGCATCTCCTGATAAAATCAGGCAGCTCAGTCTGGAGATAGGTTTAGGCCAAACCTAAGTTCATGTCTTTTTCCAGAGATAGACAGACTTCCCTGAAGTGTATAATAAAATGTTGTATTTTCAACAGTTTGCATAACCATTTCCCACTGTTCACCACACCATCAGCTGATGACTAGCAGTGTTAGCTGATGAACTAACTGACTCATCTCTTAAACCAATGCTAATTTTATACTAGCTAAAGGTGGCTTTTATGTCAATTTTTGATCAAGTGGCCCTGAGAAACCTATATAGGTGGCTTAGTGTTGCTTTAGTCACATAGTAGCATTACGAAAAATACTGAGATTAGAACAATCTAATCTGTATATAGGTGGCTTAGTGTTGCTCTAGCTACATAGTAGCATTAGGAAAAATACTGAGGTTAGAACAATCTAATCTGTTTAATTAAAAACCACTAAATTTATTATTTCAAAAGAAGCCATTTCTTTACAGATGAAATCTCTCTTGGAAATGTTCATCTGTGTTATTTTGTCATCTTGAATCAGAATTGTACTAATATAAATGAAATCTTATAGAAACTGTGTTAATAAATTGAGTCTATATATGATTCTCCAAATATACAGATTCATTTAAGGACTGGCTATTCTTTTGAAATTCAACACTCATGTGTTTTTGATACCAAAAACAAATATCGTATGTCTGGTGTTCCTATCACAAAACTCAACCTTACAAATTAAGATGCTTCATGAATTATATTTGACAGTATATACTTTCTTCTTGGATATAAAATGACAATAAAAGATCAGAAATTAAAAGATGGTCTGCGTTTTTATATATTCTCTGTCTTCCTCTCTATTATACATAAATAATGCAGAAAAAGTATTTGCTTTGCAAATTTCTCCAGCAATACTCTTCTGTTCTTGTGAAATTTCAAATTAATAATGCAGTCAGAATGGGTGATTCTATGCATGGTAAAATGGAGATGGAATTCATAAAGAACAACATGGTAAGCCTTGGACAGGCACTTTGGAAAAAATATGTCAAAGCCAGAAGATGGAAATGAGAAAAATATTTCATGGATTTCAGCAGCCTCAGTACTCCATGCTGCCTTGCCAAATTTAGGGAGGAAAATAATGCTTTTGGAGTTAAAAATAGAAAAAACACTGAATCAAATGTATTTTTCTTTTTAATCAAAAGCTCTACCAGTGACCTTGATGCTTTGACAATTTTGGATCATGCATGCAAAATAATCAACAGTCCATTCTGTACTCAGACAACAAGCGAAATCACATGTTTTCAGACAAACTAGCTCACGACTGCTTCGTTAGCTTCATACTAATAAAGGGTTTAAAATGTCTATTGTCTTGAAAATAGATGATATACAATCCCTGCATTTAAAAAGTCTCATCTTTGATTTTGATCACTGAATAAACAAAGATGACAGAACTGTAGAATGTCTTTGTCTGATTTTTTCCTCAAATCACCCTTTAAAGGAAAGAAGAGTAACTGTAATGCTAACTATTCTGAAGTGTGCTTGAAAGGGCATCCTTACCAAGCTCCACAGGAGACAAAGAAAAGAGTTTGACGAAAATTTAAACATGCACAGAAAAGCTGAAGAAACAAAGCTTTAAACAGATATTGAGTTCAACCTAACACTCAGTTTGAACAGAGAAATATACAGAGCATCACATACTATTGATGGTGGTGGCATGCAGACACCAAAATTGTCAAAATTTGCAACCTGCATAATACCTTTGGTTGAATTGCTCCAACGGTTACCTTCAGAATAATGGGATAAAGTCAGCAGATTGACACATGAACCCCCAGCACCAGATCCAAAAACAGTGATTCTTAAGGGGTCACCACCAAAGAATCCAATGTTTTCACTAGTCCATCTTAAAGCTTGTATGAGATCAAGGAGTCCATAGTTCCCCTTTGCAGCCTGATCCCCTGTACTCAAGAAACCTGAAAAATATAAATTTGAAAAACACCTTTTGAGCTGACATGAACCAAATAGACATCAAATTTAAATACAAACGAAGCCTATATTAATCAAGGTAAGGACAGTCCAAGTTCATTAGTAAAGATTATTTCCTACCATAATAAAAGAATTTACTTTAGCAAGAATAGCAGTGACTGAAATCTGAAAAATGACATTTATCTTCTCCAAATGCTTCCCAACGTATCCAGGTAACAGATAACAGGGGCAGATAAAGGGAATGCAAACATTCTGAAAACCTGAGGAAAGACATTCCAGGGGCCAAGTTACTCAGTGGAGACATTTGGATAGTATCATGGGGCTTATGTAAATGTGCATTTTGCAGAAAACACCATGTCTGTCCTCAAGTTGCTTGTCATCGAACGTGGTTGAAATGTTAGGCATGTGTGGCAGAGTAGCAGGATGGAAATGTGTAGAGCAGGCGGGTATTTCTCTAAGACTTGTAGAGAAAGGTTTGGTAAACTCCATAAAATTATATAGAACTCTGCATGTATATGACTATGTACATTTTTATCAATGATGATCAATGATTAAGAAAGAATTACTGTGCCAGAGATGACTTGAGGACACGGTTAGGACTACTTTAAATGCCAAACTGAGGGGAGCTACTCAATTAGCAAATGGTGTAGAATAATTGAAGGTTTTTGAAAAGTTCAGACATATATTTCTGGAATGTTCAAAGCTCTGCTTTGTAGTAAATCTGAAAATGAGTGGAAAATGAGGTGAATCTGAAAATGAGCGGGAGAGAAAACGGAGGCAGGGGAGAGAATTTAAGGATCTGAACTGACAGAATGGCAAAGGCAATTGAAAAAAAGAAGACAGATAGAAAAAATATTGTGGCACTAAGATCTGAGTAACTGTTTTACCTATGAAAGTTGTAGAAGGGAGAGTCAAACATATTACTTAACAATATCTTAAACATATTCACTCATTTAGCTGACCTAATAGCTTTTATAGTGTGTTTATTATAACTTGTAAAATAAACATCTATTCTCTAATATATTTCTGCATTTAGTATAAATGAAAATGTAGAAAGTGTTTCATAAAATACTCAATCTTATGTATGTAGAAAATATTTACAGTCCTATTAGATATAAATTGATTATATTCAGGGATATAATTTCCAATCTCAACAAATTTATAGAACCAATTTTTAAAAAATTAATTCTGTTACTGGAGACTTATTATAGAAATTCAATATAATGGGTCAATGTTTGTGATAAAAATTATTTTATTCGATTTGAAATATATCTTTTTGTAAAATAAGCTAAGACATCGATTACATTTATGAAAACAAAACCATGATAACACTACCTATCAGGTTAGCAAATAAATCCATAATCAAACTGAATATATGGATAAGAAATTCTTTAGGATCATTGTAGAAAGGAATAGATGAAGACAAATCCTCCTGAATAATTTTGAAAACTTTGAAGAAATGAAAGAGCTTAGTTATTCTTTTCCTACAAGATCAAAAATTCTAAGAAATAAAACTGCAGTCTCTAACTCATTGTGTATGTATGTGTCTCTGTGTTTGTGGAATCCTGAAAATGCTAACTTTCCTTAAGACTAAAATTGTAAAAAATACAGTTCAAATAAACAAATTTTTCTGGTCATACCCATTCTCTTTTATTGAATTTGCATAATAATTTAAAGAAATTTTTATGATGTCTTCTTAGATAGAAGTATGTGCAAATACTCAATATGCATATAAATTAGAGGACAAGAAAATACAAAAGAGAAGCATGCCAGGGAACTCTTTTAACACTATTTACTATCACATCAACTTTGGTATAAGACAGAATTATTAGTTTACATTTCTGAAAGACACCCTTACAAATGTTTTGGTCTATAAAGACAGACTATTGGCAAGAACTCTGAAAACAATATTATGGAAGGATTACTCTACATTAGATAGAGAAACTCTTGAAGGAAAAAGGATGTGTGTGTGTCAGTGTGTGTGTGTAAGAAAGAGAGAGAGTGAGTGAAAGAATAAGAACATAATACTCTTGTTATTAGGTTGGTGCAAAAATAATTGCAGTTACGTTCAAATTACTCCACTTACTTTCAAATGAATCTTTACATCCATACAGAATTGACTTACTCATAAAATAATCATCATCCAATGTGTAGCATGTAGAGAACCATGGTAATAAGACAATTATTTCTACATTAACTAAATTATATCCCCTCTATAATTCCAGTTATAGATGCACTCTTTAGTCAAATAGCTTTGTGTTTATATAAGTGCTGTAAAAAAAAAAAAGTTCCTCTGAAGAGTAACTTCTACTTGATACATAGTCTAAAGAAGTCTTGTAATATATTCAAGAAAGAGTTTTAAACAAAATAAATTCAGTTCAAAAATGTCATTATTAAACCACAGCATAGAAAATGGAGTAAACCATTGGGTAGAAGTTATTGTGTTGTAGCCTCAAAATGTCCAAGATTACTCAGTCAAGCTCCATTTTTACCCTTCAGTACTGAATTTATCTTACTCCTGATTCTAGTGTATTTCATGTGTATGTCATCTATCTATCTATCTATCTATCTATCTATCTATCTATCTATCTATTTATCCGTCTATCCATTCATCCATCCATATCATCTATCTGAAACTAACTGATCATTAGAGTGAATTTAGAAGACCACGTTGGGTTTTATTTTATGAAAAACTGATAGCAGCTGTCTTTATTAAGGCCGCTGACCAAGCAAATAACATGTCTTCAGACCTGGTAGAGAGATATATACTTGCACAGATTTTTTGATTACTGATGGTATAACATCCTGTGGCTAAGTTAAAGGCACAAAATGAGGAAAGTTAAATTGCTGTCTCAAAAGAGATACAGTTTGCTAATTACCCAAGTGATGTACACTGGCAGCATTCTTTATACCTTGCTATCTAGTGAAGCAGTCATTTAAAGTTCTTTTTAAATTGACTTAGCTGTTATGTCCTTAACAGCATCACTATTTCAGATCACTCTAGCTGAAACTTTACATTGAAGTGCTCAACTATAGTCCAGTCATTGGGGAACTCAATTTTGCAGAGTCCTCACTTCGTGATTACTTTGGAGAAGAAGGCTTTTCCTTTAATGTCACTTAAATAATTCTCAACAGATAGTCACTACTTTATCTCACTTTTCTTGACACTCATTTTAAGTTTCTGGGATGTGTGACTAATTATTGTAGTAACACATTGACATATTATTGTTTTTGTAAAATAGAGTAATAATGACTATAAAACAAACTCTTTTCCTTTTCAGAAAAATGCACAAAATTATCCCCCCCAAAATTCAACTACTTAATTTACTTGACTCAGGAATATAAAACTTTAACAATTAGTAATTTTAAACTTAAGGCTAACTCCCAAATTCATAATTGCAATTATGCTAAAAATTATTTGACTGAGTCATATATCTACTACAATTGTCATTCACCTATTTGTTCAAACAGAATTTATTTAATACCAGTCTTCCCACCTAAAAACTCAGTGTATCAAAAAACATTTCCATTTGTGGTTCCTACATGAAACTACTAGTTCTACTGAGTTGATTACATCTACTGAGCAGGCTTAGTTTGAGTTTTCTGTTTACCTGATCTGGCAACAAGAGTTAGTTTCAAGTGCTAGAGAGAAACCAGGTAATTGCACATGGGTGCGCAGGCTCTTGTAATGGAAAAATAAGACCAGGCCTGAAATAAATTGGACAAGAGGAAAATAAATAAAAACAGATAATTACTGTGACCAAGGTATTGGCTTAGGTTACTGTTGTCTATGGAACTCAGATAACTTTCTGATAGGCAGACCCTAAGGAGTGTGAAAGGAGCTAATTTAAATTGTCTGGCAGTAGCCCTGCGGTTTATTGGTTGACCCAATTTATACTTAGGTCTTTTACAATACAATCAAACAACCATGTACAAATATCTTTAGAATGCTAAAAGCAAAAAAAAAGAATGCAGACTATTTACATTTGAGATGACAACTAGAATGTCAGAAATGTAAGATGACAGTGATTCTATACTGTAGCCGTGCTTCCTTCTTTTTTAAGGTAGGAACATATTTGAGTGTCTATGTTTATAGTTGTTAATTTCTAGAAACACTGAATAGAATACAGTATTATTTTTAGCCCACATTATGTAGCTCAAGCTATAAGGTAGAAAAGAAATTTGCAGTGTTTATCAATGCTGTTGCCTGGATACAGATGACTGTGGTTTGTTCTTCGAGTCACATTGCTAAGTATTTCAAAATAGAGACCGTACTGAGTATTAAAGACCCAGCCTTGCAGACATGAGACTCTGAATGATAGTGAGATGTCCTTCTAGGGACTTGGGAATACGGATCAAAAAAATAACTCTTTAAGGACTTTGTATCTCAAACATAAAAGGATTTAAAACTGTGGAAACAAAACCTTGAATTCATCCAGCTAAAAATCCAACTAGAAATCCTATGTGCTAACTCTCCTTATCTTTTCAGTTGCCACGTTCAGTCATGTCTTCCTCTGCACTCTGCCTCTGTCTCGTGCTTTAAACTTTATGTCACGGACTTATTCCAGGTCCTCCTCCTTTCTTCTTAGACCCTTGAAATCATTATAACTAGTCAATTAACCTCCAAACTTTCAGCAAGTAAGTATTCCTTCTATCTGTCACTACTCACGTTTGGAAAATATTCTCTTCTAATGGGGTGACATGGCTATATGGAAATAAAATCCTCATGCTAGAATGTGATTAGTTTCCCTTTATTTCTGTTTGAGTCAAAATTGTTTAAAATATAATGTATTAAAATCCCTACAATTAGGCATATATGGCCAAATGATTCTTGACAAAGGTGCCAAGACTATACAATGGCAAAAGAACAGTTTCTTCAACAAATGATACTGGGTAAACTGGATATCCAGATACAGATCAATAAAGTTGGACTCTCAGCATACACCATACAAAAATTAACTCAAAATGAAAAAATCCAAAACTATTG